TACCAACAGCAGCAACAATTAAAATGGATAGCACTTGTAACTGCATAATCAAGATATCAATGTTCATCAAATAAAGAATATCAAATAACAGAAAACATCACTTGAGGACTACCAACAGCAGCAACAATTAAAATGGATAGCACTTGTAACTAAAGAGAAAATACTAATCAAGAATTAAAGTTCTGTACCAAATAAAGAACTGTACCAAATAACAGAAACCACATCACTTGAGGACTACCAACAGCAGCAACAATTAAAATGGATAGCACTTGTAACTAAAAGAGAAAATAATGACATAATCAAGATATCAATGTTCTGCACTACTTCAAATAAAGAAATGTACCAAATAACAGAAACCACATCACTTGAGGACTACCAACAGCAGCAACAATTAAAATGGATAGCACTTGTAACTGAAAGAAAAAATAATGACATAATCAAGATATTAATGTTCTGCACTACTTCAAATAAAGAACTGTACCAAATAACAGAAACCACATCACTTGAGGACTACCAACAGCAGCAACAATTAAAATGGATAGCACTTGTAACTGAAAGAGAAAATAATGACATAATCAAGATATCAATGTTCTGCACTACTTCAAATAAAGAACTGTACCAAATAACAGAAACCACATCACTTGAGGACTACCAACAGCAGCAACAATTAAAATGGATAGCACTTGTAACTAAAAAGAGGAAATAATGGCATAATCAAGATATCAATGTTCTGCACTACTTCAAATAAAGAACTGTACCAAATAACAGAAACCACATCACTTGAGGACTACCAACAGCAGCAACAATTAAAATGGATAGCACTTGTAACTGAAAGAGAAAATAATGACATAATCAAGATATCAATGTTCTGCACTACTTCAAATAAAGAACTGTACCAAATAACAGAAACCACATCACTTGAGGACTACCAACAGCAGCAACAATTAAAATGGATAGCACTTGTAACTGAAAAGAAAAAAATAATGACATAATCAAGATATTAATGTTCTGCACTACTTCAAATAAAGAACTGTACCAAATAACAGAAACCACATCACTTGAGGACTACCAACAGCAGCAACAATTAAAATGGATAGCACTTGTAACTGAAAGAGAAAATAATGACATAATCAAGATATCAATGTTCTGCACTACTTCAAATAAAGAACTGTACCAAATAACAGAAACCACATCACTTGAGGACTACCAACAGCAGCAACAATTAAAATGGATAGTTTATGTAACTGAAAGAGAAAAATAATGACATAATCAAGATATTAATGTTCTGCACTACTTCAAATAAAGAAATGTACCAAATAACAGAAACCACATCACTTGAGGACTACCAACAGCAGCAACAATTAAAATGGATAGCACTTGTAACTCAAAAGAGAAAATAATGACATAATCAAGATATTAATGTTCTGCACTACTTCAAATAAAGAACTGTACCAAATAACAGAAACCACATCACTTGAGGACTACCAACAGCAGCAACAATTAAAATGGATAGCACTTGTAACTGAAAGAGAAAATAATGACATAATCAAGATATCAATGTTCTGCACTACTTCAAATAAAGAACTGTACCAAATAACAGAAACCACATCACTTGAGGACTACCAACAGCAGCAACAATTAAAAATTAAAATGGATAGCAACTTGTAACTGAGAGAAAATGTAATGACATAATCAAGATATTAATGTTCTGCACTACTTCAAATAAAGAACTGTACCAAATAACAGAAACCACATCACTTGAGGACTACCAACAGCAGCAACAATTAAAATGGATAGCACATGTAACTGAAAGAGAAAATAATGACATAATCAAGATATTAATGTTCTGCACTACTTCAAATAAAGAACTGTACCAAATAACAGAAACCACATCACTTGAGGACTACCAACAGCAGCAACAATTAAAATGGATAGCACTTGTAACTGAAAGAGAAAATAATGACATAATCAAGATATTAATGTTCTGCACTACTTCAAATAAAGAAATGTACCAAATAACAGAAACCACATCACTTGAGGACTACCAACAGCAGCAACAATTAAAATGGATAGCACTTGTAACTGAAAGAGAAAATAATGACATAATCAAGAAATAATGACATCAAATAAAGAACTGATATCAACTTGAGGACTACCAACAGCAGCAACAATTAAAATGGATAGCACATGTAACTGAAAGAGAAAATAAGACATAATCAAGATATTAATGTTCTGCCACTCAAAATAAAGAACAGAAAAATTAACAGAAACCACATCACTTGAGGACTACCAACAGCAGCAACAATTAAAATGGATAGCACTTGTAACTGAAAGAGAAAATAATGACATAATCAAGATATTAATGTTCTGCACTACTTCAAATAAAGAATGTACCAAATAACAGAAACCACATCACTTGAGGACTACCAACAGCAGCAACAATTAAAATGGATAGCACTTGTAACTGAAAGAGAAAATAATGACATAATCAAGATATTAATGTTCTGCACTACTTCAAATAAAGAACTGTACCAAATAACAGAAACCACATCACTTGAGGACTACCAACAGCAGCAACAATTAAAATGGATAGCACTTGTAACTGAAAGAGAAAAAATAATGACATAATCAAGATATTAATGTTCTGCACTACTTCAAATAAAGAAATGTACCAAATAACAGAAACCACATCACTTGAGGACTACCAACAGCAGCAACAATTAAAATGGATAGCACTTTGTAACTTAATGTTCTGCACTACTCAAATAAAAAGACCAATTAAAGAAACCACATCACTTAATCAAGCAACAATTAAAATGGATGCACATTCTGCACTACTTCAAATAAAAAGAATGTACCAATTAACAGAAACCACATCACTTGAGGACTACCAACAGCAGCAACAATTAAAAATGGATAGCACTTGTAACTGAAAGAGAAAATAATGACATAATCAAGATATTAATGTTCTGCACTACTTCAAATAAAGAAATGTACCAAATAAGAGAAACCACATCACTTGAGGACTACCAACAGCAGCAACAATTAAAATGGATAGCACATGTAACTGAAAGAGAAAAAATAATGACATAATCAAGATATTAATGTTCTGCACTACTTCAAATAAAGAACTGTACCAATTAACAGAAACCACATCACTTGAGGACTACCAACAGCAGCAACAATTAAAATGGATAGCACTTGTAACTGAAAGAGGAAATAATGACATAATCAAGATATCAATGTTCTGCACTACTTCAAATAAAAGAAATGTACCAAATAACAGAAACCACATCACTTGAGGACTACCAACAGCAGCAACAATTAAAATGGATAGCACTTGTAACTGAAAGAGAAAAAATAATGACATAATCAAGATATTAATGTTCTGCACTACTTCAAATAAAGAACTGTACCAATTAACAGAAACCACATCACTTGAGGACTACCAACAGCAGCAACAATTAAAATGGATAGCACTTGTAACTGAAAGAGAAAATAATGACATAATCAAGATATTAATGTTCTGCACTACTTCAAATAAAGAAATGTACCAAATAACAGAAACCACATCACTTGAGGACTACCAACAGCAGCAACAATTAAAATGGATAGCAAATGTAACTGAAAGAGAAAATAATGACATAATCAAGATATCAATGTTCTGCACTACTTCAAATAAAGAACTGTACCAACTTAACAGAAACCAATTAAACATCATGTTGAAAGGACTACCAATCAAGATAGCAACAATTCAAAAATGGATAGCAAATGTAACTCAAAGAGAAAATAAAAATGGATAGCACATGTAACTGAAAGAGAAAATAATGACATAATCAAGATATTAATGTTCTGCACTAATTCAAATAAAGAACTGTACCAAATAAGAGAAACCACATCACTTGAGGACTACCAAAGCAGCAACAATTAAAATGGATAGCAAATGTAACTGAAAGAGAAAATAATGACATAATCAAGATATTAACATTCTGCACTATTTCAAATAAAGAACTGTACCAAATAACAGAAACCACATCACTTGAGGACTACCAACAGCAGCAACAATTAAAATGGATAGCAAATGTAACTGAAAGAGAAAATAATGACATAATTCAGAAAGTTTGGAAGGAAACCATCATCAATACTAGAAAGAATGGTAACAACTACTGGACTTGAGAAACATGTTTTCCTGAAAAATTTTTTAAGTGAAAGACATACATTTGAATTGAAAACACTAGTGGTTGGTCAGTCAATGAATGCCAAATGTTTCCTTGTAGGGAAACGGCTAATATTACCATTACCATAACTATTAATAGTGTAATGCTGAAAAATACTTTATGGTATCTCCAAGGACAATGCGTGTGGAGGGTAAGTTTCTTGATGGTACCCTTCCCACCTCCTCTTCGCATCATGTAAAAAGGACATGCTTGGCTACAGGTTACCAGGAGCAAAGAGTAAGCCATGGTTTTTCTTTTACTATTGTTTACCAATAAAAGGCCCAAGAGCGTCTCAAGGTAGAGGGTTACTAAATGAGACTGTTGTCTTTGAATTAAAGCATCATATTTTCTTGAGTCGAAAACATCATGCCTAAGACAAAGACCCAAATATGGAAACAATTGTGACGATAGATTCATGCTTTTCTAATGACATTAGTATAAAATAAAGATCAGCTACTTTGGCTGGAATTTGAATTTGGCTCACCAATTCCATTTTCTGTTAGGTACGTATACCACTAGTATTGGTGTCTGTGATCTCTTAAATCTGGAATCGTAAGTAAAGTTGTAAAATTCTTCTTTGATTCTCCAGATCTTGCCAAGGAAATCTGGAAATTGGAAAATATGAAGGGGGATATTTTTGAAAATGGCTAAATGAAATCTGGTTTATTTGGAAAATGACCAATTCTTTCTTTCTCTGTTTTCAAGACAGCATTTTGGCTTTGGCAGACGAAAAGTGCATCTGGCTGGGCTGTAGGCGCATTTGAAATAACAATGTTGCAGTGTTCATAAAAGTTGAATTATTTTAAGTATGAATGGTATAAGAGAGGAAGAAAGAAAATGCCAAGAGGAAACATATTTGGTGGAAGAAAGAAAGTAAAAGGACGAAAAGAGAGAAAAATCAGGAGGAATGAAGAAGAAAATGAGGAGGAACGGTGGTAGAAAGAAAGAATGAAGAGAATTTAGAAAAATCAGGAGGAATGAAGAAGAAGAAGAAGAAGAAGAAGAAGAAGAACATAGTGTTACAATGAAAGACAAAAGAAAAGAAAGAAAAGAGATGAAAAACAGAAAAATTAGGCGGAAAGAAGGAGTGAAAAAAAAAGATAATAATAATAATAATAATAATAATAAGAAGAAGAAGAAGAAGAAGAAGAAGAAATGCCAAGAGGAGCATACTTGAAAGTAGAAAGAAAGAAAGAAAGAAAGAAAGAAAGAGAAAAGGGATAAAAAAGCAGAAAAACTCAGACGAGAAGGAGGAATGAAGACGAAAGATAATAAAAAAAGGAAAAATATGAAGATGAAAAAAAGAGATTTGTAGAAGGAAATTAGCAGAGAAGAAAAGCAGAAAAATGGGGACACAAAAAAAAAAAGGAAAAATAGTATAAAAGAACAAAAAGAAGAAAATGGAAGGGAGGAAAGAGAACGGACTGACGAGTCAACGGCGGACAGGCTTAAGGAAGGAAACTGGAATGATAATACTAAATAATAAAAGAATGAGAGAAAAAGAAGAAGAAGAAAAGAAGAAAATATGAATAAATATACAGAAGAACGATTACAGAGAAAATACAAAGAGTGAGAATCTTACCAAAGACGATACAAATAGGAAAAGGAGAAAAATATGATGAAAAAGAAGAAGAAAACTAGTAGAATCTAAAGAAACGATGGAAAAAAGAAAATAATAACAATTATAATATTAATTATTAGTAGTATAAGAAGATGAAGAAGAAGAAAAATAATAATAATGATAATAATAATAATAATAATAATAATAATAATAATTATTATTATTATTATTTTGTTGTTGTTTTTGTTAGTAATAGTAGTAATGGCGGTTAAATAAGAGATGGAAGAGGAGGAAAGAAGATTGATGAAATAAAAAAAAACGGAGTAAATAATAAATAAATGCAAAATTGAAAACAACAAATAAACGAAAAAGAAAATTGAAAACAAATAATTGAAAGAAAAACGAAGAGAAAGAAAAAAATTTCGTAAGCCAAGAAGACAAAAAAACAAATAAAAAGAGAAGGTAAAATATATTCAATCCTCAAACTGATTAACAGAAGAAGGAATAATAGGAAAAAAAAATTTAACTTCTTCATTTTTAGCTTATTTCTCTTTCCCGAAGATTGCAGTCTCCATTATCAGCCATTTTTTAAGAAAAAATTCCAATTTTTAATATTTTCACTGGAAAATGGTAACAGATAAGAAGAAACAAAAAGAAAACAATGAACAACCCAAGAGTTTCTTATTTTAGTTATTTGCCAAGCAGGCATTTTATTCAATAATTGCCTCTGATTAACCACTTAAATATTTACTCAAATGCTTCTGTGACTACAGGCTGGAAAAAAAACACAAATAACACACGCGCAATGCTCTCTCTTTATATTCCCCAAACTCCGGTTCTCTTAGATATACCTGAAGAGTAAACCAAAGAAGAAGACAGGGAGAGGTGGGGAGAGGCAGGATAGATCAAAAGAGAAGGAGGAACAGTAGTAAGTGAGAGAGAGAGAGAGAGAGGGAGAGAATGTGAGAAATGAAGGCGGGGGATATGAATTGAACTAAATAGAAAAAAAGAGTGAGAGAAGGCAGAGACGAGGGGAATGAAAAATAGAAAGGTGAGAGGGATAAGAAGAATTGAGAAAAGAAGTAAAAGAGAGAATGTGAGAAATGAAGGCGAAAAAAGTGGAAGAAATGAATTGACAACTAAAAAGAAAGAAAGAGAGAGAGCAGGAAGGAGAGAGAGAGAGAGGGGGGATATAGAACGATAATAGAAAGGTGAGAGAAGTGCAGAGACGAGGGGAATGAAAAATAGAGTGAGAGGGATAAGAAGTTAAAAGAGAGAGAATGTGAGAAATGAAGGCGAAAAAAGTGGAAGAAATGAATTGACAACTAAAAAGAAAGAAAGAGAGAGAGCAGGAAGGAGAGAGAGGGAGGGGATATAGAACGATAATAGAAAGGTGAGAGAAGTGCAGAGACGAGGGGAATGAAAAGAGAGTGAGAGGGATAAGAAGTTAAAAGAGAGAGAATGTGAGAAATGAAGGCGAAAAAAGTGGAAGAAATGAATTGACAACTAAAAAGAAAGAAAGAGAGAGAGCAGGAAGGAGAGAGAGAGAGAGAGAGAGAGGGGATATAGAACGATAATAGAAAGGTGAGAGAAGTGCAGAGACGAGGGGAATGAAAAATAGAGTGAGAGGGATAAGAAGTTAAAAGAGAGAGAATGTGAGAAATGAAGGCGAAAAAAAAAGTGGAAGAAATGAATTGACAACTAAAAAGAAAGAAAGAGAGAGAGCAGGAAGGAGAGAGAGAGAGAGAGAGAGGGGATATAGAACGATAATAGAAAGGTGAGAGAAGTGCAGAGACGAGGGGAATGAAAAATAGAGTGAGAGGGATAAGAAGTTAAAAGAGAGAGAATGTGAAGAAATGAATTGACAACTAAAAGGAAAGAAAGAGAGAGAGCAGGAAGGAGAGAGAGAGAGAGATAAGGAGAAAGAATGAGAGGGGACAAAGAAAGAGAATCGGAGGATATAAGATAGAAGGAGACAAAGAAGAAGTGAGAGTGCGGGGAACAGAGAGAGTTAAGAGAGAAAAGTAAAGATAGGGGAGAAGAGAGAAACATAGGGTGAAAATGATAAAGAACAGAACGGAGAGGAGAGAAAAGGGAGAGACGAAAAAGAGAAAAATGACAGTGGGATAGAAAGGGAGAGAGAATTAAAGAAATAGAGAATAGATAGAAGAGAAAGAGAGAGAGAGAGATATATAGGTGGGGTACAGAGAGTTACGAGAATAATTTAGAGAGGGAGACTAAGAAATAAACAATGATCGAAAGAGAAAGAGATCAGAAAAAAGTGGAGGGAAGAAGAACGAAAGACAAAGTGAAGGAATGAGTAAGAGTGACAGAGATAAAGAGAAAAAAGAAAGAGGGAGTGAGAGAGATAGTTAACAGTAAAAAGCAAGAGAGAGAAGCAGAAAGTGAAATAGAAAGCAAGAAGGAGAGAGAGAGGGGGGGAGAGGTAAAGAGAAGGCCAGCTCAGAGAAGATTAAGGAGCGGAAGTGATAGAAATAGAGAGTAGGGAAAAAGGAAAATGAGAAACACACGAAAGAAAGAGAAAGAGAGAGGGAACAAGAGAGAGCGAGAGGGTGAAGGAGAAAAAGAATAAGAGATAGAAAAAGAGGGAAAAGGCTGAGGTAAATTTGGTTAATAACAAATGTAATCTCTGAGGACTAAAATGATTAGCGCCAAGATTTAAATTCGCCCTGTCATCTCCATATACATCAGGATTACCTTGGCGCAATAAAACTCTGGAAGCAAATGGGATGGGTTACACCACTCTTTCAAATAGGAATGTTCTACCTGTCTATCAGGAGAATTCTTACATTACACCATCGCCCTTCAATACGTTGACGATCATGGCTCTCCACAATTTCCTGTCATTTGTAGCTCTTAATAAACTATATTTTCGTTATCTCTCCTAAAATTTGTTCCACCATCTAAGCTCGCTAGATAGGTTATGCATTGTTTTCCTCTGGCTTTCAATCTATCCTGTGTGTATCATATTTTCCAAGCCCTCTTTCCTCATTATGAGCCCTAGAAATGTCAAATGTCTCTTCCTGATATTAAATATATCCCGTTTGTTTATATTTTCTCTAAAACTTCGTTGTTGCTTGCATATTCGAGCGATGGTATTTTCTACATCCTTCTGCAGAATCACATTTCTGTTGCTTCAAGTCTCTTCTTCATTTTTGAGGAGATGGTCCGGCATTCACTGTCATAAATGTTATAAAATATATGTATACAATAGAATAGATTAAAAAGTAGGTTCTATTTGTTTATGGTTTTATTTAATATCTTGTTGCACCTTCAATAATTAAATCAATTTTGGGACGTGATTCCGAGAGGCATACACGGATTTTCAGTAGGACAGTTGGATAGACTGGGCTCTATAAGTATGTATACAGCCAGTGTAGTGATGGCAGGGTATCTTTACGCAAAGAGTTGCCTTGACTGAAGACAACGGCCGAGGTGTAGATTTTCAATGACCATGTGTCCGTGTCCAAGGCAGGCTTTCAAGATGGAAGACATCGACTGTGGTTTGACCTAGAGAGAGATGTCTACTTGCCCAAGACACGCTTTCAATGAATGAATGAATCCCTCTCTGGTTTTCTGTCGATATATGAGGAAGAAGTGCTCAGTAGCAGAGCGTAAAAAGTTTCACTTATCGTCCCTTAACTTTTGAACGGGAGTAAAGATTTATCCATTGTTTCCTGTTTAGAATTGGGTTTTCCTTCTAAATTCTACTCCCTCTCTACTTCTAACCACTCCGCCTAAACTCTGGAATTTTTACTATTTACTTTCCGTCAATTGGAGCAGATAGCTTCGCCTATTATTCGTTCATACTCCTCCCCTGTCTTTTGAACAGGAATAGAGGTTTCCTGTTTACGATTGGTCTTCCGGTTCCGTCTAAATTTTACTCCATCAATACTTCTAACCACTCCGCCTAAACCCTGAAATTTTTACTATTCATTTGTTTTCCGTCAGTTGGAGTAGAAAGCTTTGCCTATCGCCCGGTTCATACTCTTCCACGGTCTTTTGAACAGAAGTAGAAGTTTATCCCTTGTTTCTGGTTTAGGATTGGGCTCCCGGTTTTTTCTAAAGTTATTCCTTGTTCTCTCACCTTTGCACTTAGTGGCGTTATCGCCTTACTTGAGGTGAATTGATTAAAAAAAGGAAATGTAAAGTCTTGAATTTATTTTTAATCCAACACATTGCTTAAAAAGTCTTGTTCACAACGGTAAGGTAATCAGAAAAACAAAATACATTTCACGCATTTTTTAATCTTAGAGTGTATAATTTCATCATAGAACTCCAAAACTTCAGTCGTGCGAAAGATTTAAATAAAGATTGTCAAAAAATCTAGAAATTCATCTGGAAGTGGCCTGGGATTAATTCGTAAGGGATTCCGAATGAATTGTTAATAAAGAATAAAGATATCAAATGGTATACTTTTGTGTGGAAAAAGGATAAAACTTTTGCAAACCTCTAATCCTAAAAACAGGTGAAGTGCCGTTAGACTTGATCACGTGCCCATTGGAATTCTCCATTTTCAGAACTTCTGTTCTTGTATAAAAATCTGCCTACATAATCAGTATTCGCAGTGGCGAACTAGTCAGGGTTTTTGAGCATGCCAGATGGCAAGTGGGTTTCTGATGGGGAACGTCTTCTATGCCAAATAAAAATGCAATAAAGAAACAAACACAGAAATCTTCTTAGTAATAGGAAGTAAGTGATTTCCTAAGCGTAGCTTAATTGTGACACAAGGCCGAAAGAAGGGCCACCCAGTGAGGATCGAACTCACTACTCATTCGTAAGTTCTAGCGAGACAAGCTTGCTAACCATTACACCACCTTGAGGTGCCCAATGTAGTGATTTTCCAAGCATAGCTTAGATGTCGCACAAGGCTGAAGTTAGGGGGGTCACCCTGTGAGAATCGAACTCACTACTCAGTCGTAATTGTTCTAGCGAAACAAGCTTGCTAACACCACCTCGAGGTGACCGTAGCAATAGAAAGGAATAAGAACTTTATAAAGTCATCTTCGCACTTATGTCCAATGTGAGAGAACATTTTCAAAACGAAGCATAAAGACAAGGTCAAGAAATTCCCTGTCTTTGGAATCATACATTGTGCTGTTATTCATTGAAGAGGGATTGTTAGATGAATTAAATGCAGAAGCAATTATTGGCAAATTCTCACAATCATCGAGTGAACACAAACAATTACTTTTAATATAATGAACTGCATGCAATTCATGAAATTCATGCAATTGTGAATTTGAACTATTTGTTATTGTGTAAATTGTGTTGTAAACTATTTAAAATATCAACCAATTACTTAAAATTATAACATAAATAAAAAATTAAATTATAATCTATATTTACATTTGGTATCTACTGTTAGTAATGTGCATAATATACGTACATAGCAACTATTAAGAAATACATTTTCCCACAGAAAATTTAATTATACCCTTTTACGATATATATTTTTTGAAAGTTGTATTTATACGTTATGAAAATTACACGATAGTATTGTAGTTGCGGGTGGGTCGCCTTTGTCTCCTGGCAACCAATATTTTTCGCCACTGAGTATCCGAAATCTCAGCATTTATCAGTACTTGAACGCCGAACATTTGCGTCAGCGGAGTATATGGAATTATTCTCGTCCCGAAGCCAACAACTGCTACTCTTGATCACTCAGCTCAGAAGTTATCAAAACTGTCGGCAAAAGTGAGTTTTTAAAAACATTTCACCCCAAGCAGGAGAGATGAAAACACTAAGACTCATAGGTAATCGTACGCCTAAATTCAAATAATTCAAATTTAAAAGAACCAACAGTTCATGCACACTCTCAACCGAATTAGTCTGGACACCAATGACGTCACTTCGTAGGGCCCAAAATGTTGAAGGGTCCCACACATAGATAGAAATTTAAAACTTTATCAGAATTTCCGTTTTTCAACATTTTTCATCAAAAAATAAAGTCCACTTACATTTCACAATTAGTTCATTATTTCTGCTACGTATTTAGAGATCCTGATAAAATACAAAGAAAAATCTGCAATGTTATAGATTCTGACCTGGCATCTCGGCTTCAGTCACATTCCCATCGCAGTAATGTAGCTTCACTGTGTCTTTTTTATAAATATTTTAATAGTAATTGTTCTGATGAAGTTTATTGTTTGGTACCGAAGCTTTATTTATTTAAGCACAGTACTGGATTGGCGGCAAGGTCTTATCATTTTACAGTTGAATTGGTTAGATTCAACCGTAAGTTCTATGCTAACAGTTTCTTCTCTAGAACATCTCGCTTGTGGATATCTCTTCTTACTTCTTGCTTGATCAACAAAAATTAAATGGAATATGTACTGTTATCGCCTATCTTCTTAATTCTTCTTTTATTGTTCTCTCTCCTTAATTATGTTTTCTTTTCCTCATATTCTCTAACACTCAGTAAACTCTTGTGTCTTAGTGTCTTTATTGCCTTGCTGAAGGTGAATTAATTAACGAATACCTTTTGAAAAAGGCTTCGTCGAAAGGATCCTAAAGGCATAACAAAAATGACGTTTATCGTGTGCAAACACACACACACACACACACACACACACACACACACACACACACACACACACATATATATATATATATATATATATATATACTATCAGTAGAGATAGATCAAGTATCGATCATCATAAAGACTGAAAAATAAAATTGACAAAGATTATTGTTTAAGGTTGAAGGACACGCATGTCTTAGTTTTTTTTTTACGAATTGGTCAAACCCAAACTCAAACAAAAACATTGTTTTCAATCGTTATGAGTTTACCGATTGAATAGAATTTTATTATAAACAATTGTCTTGTAAATGGAATTTTTAAAGCATTCTGAATGTAAAAATAAAGAAAAAAATGTGCAAGACAATAAGAAATACTACCTGCCAAAAAAGTGAAGTTTTTGTTGAAATCGGTTGAAAAATGTAGGAAATCCGATCCATATATAAACGAACACACACACACACACACACACACACACACACACACACACACACACACACACACACAACCAACCTGGGTTTTATAATAAGTATAACTCGATATTAATAAGTATAACTCGATATGAGTTGTCTCCCTTTCATTAATGCCTCTTAATCGTGTTTTCAAATTGATTTCTTGCAAAAACAATTGTTTTTTTCCAATTTTTGGTGCTGTCAGAACCACCGCAAGGTAATTTTACGTAGTCCTGTGAAGTTTTGTTGAAATCGGTTGAAAAATGTACGAAATCTGATCCAATATATAAACGTACAGACGCACACACACACAATCTGCGTTTTATAATATTGTGCATTTGGGCAGCAATCCCTCTTTTATGCAAGTTTCGTTACAAACAACTGGCAAGGTGATGTGGTTAAGTTTTTTTATATAATTTTTTATGTGTTTCTATAATGTGTTTTTCTTTTCAGGACATAAATTATATAAAAATTCTTAAAATATTTTATATATTAAAGCGCTTTCGGCTATACTTTTAGCCATTATCAAAGATGAATTTTATTTTTACTTTTAACTGAATATATGGATTATTCTAAGTATGTATCGAGCGTTATAGAAATGTTTTATTTTCCAAACATGAGCAGCATATTGTCTTCATTCTGTTCTGTGAGTATCACATTT